AAGAGAAAACAACAGAGAGAGTAAAATCAGCTCACCATGAGCATGAACCTTTTGCTTCAGCATTAACACAAGACAAACCAAAGTCTGAGAAACATGATTAATGAATCTATTAACTATTGCACAAACATCTATAATGGTCTTGAATACACTGATGCACCACATCAAGCTAAATCATCCTCCTCTTCATCTTTAGTCTGGCACATCTCCACTCACTGTGCCACACAAAAAACATCCCAAATGCAAATATGACTTAATAGTCATCCACATTCCCTGTCCAAATTTCTCCGTACATCTCAATGGCTCAGGACTTAAGTTTCAGATGAAAGGACCTCTGAAAGCTATAGTTTCAAATCTCTTTGCCCTTGTTGCTGGTTTCTCAATCTGTTAGCACTTTGCTTAGTTCCATCATGAGTTCATTCTGCTGGTCACAAAGTCATGATATTATGCCATGCCTGGCTTTGGAGAGAGCACTAATGACTGCATTTTCACTTTTCCAGCTCCTGCTTGCACCATAGTTCTTTCTTTTAAGCATCAAGATTTATGCAGTACTGATCTCCAACCACAGGAGAATGAAGCTGAACTTGTGCATCTCAGTAAGAGAAAACTGTGTGGGCATCTCCCTGACTATCACTGGACCAATTTTAGGATAAGCAGTTCCCCATGATGGATCAAGAAGTCAGACCATTTCCAGCTGAGGATGCTTGGGAAAGGTTGCTTCCCAGTTGCAGGAATACATGCAGTGAGGATGCATGACAAGGGCAAAGAGAGAAGAGCCTGGTTCTGTCTGTGAGTAGAATTCATGCACAAATACATACAGAAGTGTTTCTCTACATTCTCACAAATATTGGTAGAGGGGGAAAAAAGAGACTACTGGGGGCAAGGACGAGATCTGAAGATGAAGCATGTCATTGGAGGGAGCAGTTTGCTTCTTGAAGTTCTCACACCAACAGGAGAGAGTTCTCTCCAAGAGCAGAGGTGACTTTGATTGGGCATTTCATGTGGAACCTACTCTTGCAGCAGTCTTGCTTTCCATTCCCTCTGGGCCTGCAGCCAGAATTCCCAAACCCTGACTCTGGGGGATTCAAAGGAACAGGTTTGCTGCTGAAGTCCCTCCACAGCCCCTCTGGACACAGACTTCTGAAACACCAAACCTTAACCCTCATCTGCTTCTGCTGAGCTTCTTCCTTTCTCAATTTCAGTTGAACATGAGAACTAGCAAGCTGATAAATAGTGTGCTGGAAGTTTCCAAACCACATGAAAATGTAAGGACTTATCAACTGTCCTGCAAATCTGGACAATTTCCTTTTGTCCTATACACCCACACAACGTGGAAGGCTACTGGTTTCAGTCTTTGAAGCATCTGACAAAAAATAGACAGCTTGCTTGTTATTGTTTGGATGCAAAATAACCCACCCCAATACCACCAAAAAAACTCTCAAATCTCCTCAAAAGCAAATTTTTAGGGTTCTAAATATATTGGGTGCTTCTGGATATGAAGATCTTTACTACAGCACAGGCCAAGTCCAAGTTTATCCAACACAAAGTGTAAATCTAGAAGATGCTAGCCCAGCCCAAAGGAGGTGCTCCGGATTTACACCAGCTGTAAGATAACAAAATCTAGCTTTGTGTAGAGCACATGGGAAAAACACCTGTCTGGTAAAACATCAATTAGCACTGTAAGTGATTTTCTTTCACTGTGTCAGAAAGTTTGATGCTTTAACTCCATACACAACATACATTTTCTAAAAATCTCTGTTCTATAGCAGCTCCTAACCCTTCTGCTTTATGTGAACGCAGTTCAGAATTTTTAGGGAGCCCCGTTTCTATGAAGAAGAAGTGGTAAAGCCAGTTTTTCTCAACTTTGTTAATAACTCCAGCCCTTATCCCAAATTGGACCATTCCATCTGTGTCATTGCTTCAGCAAGTACTCAAATCAAATTGAAACCTTAACATATGAACATCCATCTGAACAGCACTTTCAGAGAAGTCAGGTAAGTTATTGCAAGAAATTAACCTCAGCACTGATTAGATTTGACCTGGAATTTCTTCCTTCACTTTTTACAGCTGGGCATGAAGTTGAAAAGTCCACTGGGGATTTTGATGTTCTAGTTGCTACTGAAATAACTGAGATCATATAGTGCTGCTCACAGCTAAGACTGTAATAGAGTCTACCACCTTCTAACTGCAAATTGTGAGGTTCCACTTCTGTGTGGAAAGCTGGAAATACAGCTAAACCATCAGTTTATGTTTCTAGAAACATGGTGCATAAGCCTTGATCCAGGCTGCAGAGTCTGATGTTTTCAGGGTTTAAACACCGTCCTTCACAATCCCAAATGCTAGTGACTAAAATTATAGTAATACTATAGTAATAATTATAATTATAGTAATAAAGTTGAGGACTGGGAGATTGAACTTAATACAGCAACCACATATTCCTGTTGACCGTTACATGTACAGTCATTAGCAAGCATATGCAATACAATTTGGGGAATAAATAATTATAAGATATAAAGAAAACATATGTGAGTTCTATGCAAAACCCAGAAAAGAAGTATTGTTCTTTCCCAAGTTAACGAGAATATGTGTGGCACAAGAGAGCTGAAGTGCCCAACACTCACATGTCAAATGAATTTAATTTCCTTAATCTCATTTTTCAAATGGGTACTCTCAAAGCTTGTAGGCAGCATGTTGTTTTCGGGAATTTTAAATTATTAAGTAGACTTATATGGGCTGAAAGACCTTCTTCTGTCTCCTCCTTGTGGAGGTCTTTTAGGTTCTTTCTGAACCACTGACTGTTTCTGAGAATCTCCCCTAGAACCTGCCAGTAAATGGAAGCTCAGCAGGCACCTGCAGAGACTGAATTACAAGAGGGCACCAGTGATGAATTGAATTTCATCAAGAGCACTGGAAATGGAAAGTGCTGGGCAGCCTGATTAAGAACTGCAGGTAAATAAGCAGTGAAGGAGGATGAAATGGGAAGAAAAACACAGAAAGGTGTATGGTACAAAACATCAACCACTGCAATAATAACTTTCAAACTCTCTGTGCAAACTCAACTATGGAGAGTTCTGCCAGTGGCCCAGAAGAAGCATAATCAACCTATTTGAGGTGTCCAAACAAAGCAGAGAAAGAATGCTTCTCTAGAAAACAGACCAAAAAAACCCCAAGAAAGCCAATGAGCCTGAAAACATTTAAATTCTGATTTGAGCACAATCTCTTCACTATGGGGAGGGTATGAATTTCCAGCAAAATGGTTGTAAGGGCACCCAGCAAAACTAGAGAATAAACTTTCCAACGCCTACAGCACCTGAGCTGGCCATCAGGATGTTTGTCCCCAGCACCCAGAGCCCCAGGTTGTCCCCTAAGCAAGCCAAGCTTTTCCCAATGGGATTGGTGCAGGGTGCACATGAACAGGAAGGTGAACCAGGGTCTTTCTCACAGCCCATGGCTCACAGAATCCACCCTCTCCCTGGGCAGTGGGCTTGCCATGATCTGCACAATGGAAAACCTTTCCGACAGGAAAGAGGAAGCCAGTCCCCTGGCGGAGCTGGTCACTGCAGGAGCCCATGCAGGAGCAGGACGCCGAAGTTCAGACTCAAGCTGTGAAGGAAGCCTGGCAAGGATCTGAATCCACATTTCCTGTATCCAGGGTGGGTGTCCCATGCCTCTGCCTATTTCATCTTGGGCATAAGAACCTCCTAGGCAGAGACAAATAATGTGGGGAAATTAGCACTTTCCTGGGGAAAGGAAAGAGGAAAAAAAAAAGTAGAAGAATACCTATGTATCTGTATCAAAGCTGATGAATCAGCACTTCCCGAGCAGGAAAACGTCTCGTCGGAGCGGCCCCGCCAGCTCTCCTCCCGGGCAGCCTCAGGCAGCGGCACCGCTCCCGTGGGCTGGGCGGCGCGGAGCAGACCGAGCCCACGGCCACTCGCGCCGCTCACCGCAGGAACGCTGGCCTCGAAGGCTGTCCGGCGGGGAGCTCGGCTTTTCGCTTCCCCACCCGGGGTTTGGTCTCGCTCCCCGCCGGCTGCCGGCCCCTTTCTGCCGAGCGCCGTCCCCGCGGCCGTGCGCGCTGCCCCGGCCGGGACAGGCGGCGGGAGCCCCGGTCCGCCCCTCTCCGCGGGCATCCCCGCAGGGCAGCGGCCCTGCCGAGCCATGAGCCCACGCGGGACCGGCCCTTGCCCGGCCACCACGCACCCCTGCTCTCAGGTGACCAGCCACACAAGGCTGGGACGCAATGCCCACCGCGGCGCTCCGGCCCACGGGGACTGGCTCTTGGCTCAAAACAAAATAAAACTCGGTTAGAGCATCAGATCTGCAATGATCCATCCCCATCATTGCGGGATGCAGGCACCGGAGAGCAGCTCCATCCCACACTCCAGTAAGACCCGGCAGCCAGCCCCGCACGGAGCGCCACCGCGCTCCACCGACCTGCTCGGGCGGGAGGCAGCAGAACCTCGATTTTTGCGAAGAAAAGGTACACCTTTGCCGCTTCACGGGCAGAGCTGGCACACTTGAAAATAAAGTGTGGAGGAAAGTAGCGCGCCCTGCAGCCAAGACATGCTCTCGTTCCGTGATGCACCGGCTGGGACAACTCCCGATGATGTACGGCGGTCCCCTGTGCCCAGGAGAGGCTGGCCTCCACGCCACCTCTGCCTTGCTGGAGGAGGAGCGGCACCGCGGCTCCGCACCGCCGGACCCTCCGGGGAGCTGCTCCCGGGACACGCCGACGGGGATCCGGAGCATAAGGACAGCTCGGGGATGCGGCGTTTCTCCGCTCCCTGGAAAGCAGGGATCACGTCCCCGGCCCTGCCCAGAGGAAAGGAGCGAAGGGGAGGCAGGTGCCCGCCGGCTCCAGCAGACGAGCGGGGTGCGGCGGGACCGGTCAGGGGCGCGGGAGGCGCAGCCGATGAGGCATATCACGATGGGGACCCGTCGCGGAGAGCTCGGCGCAGAACGGGGTCTGACCGGGGCAGCGCGAACCGGCGGTCCCTTACCTGCGAGCAGGAGGGCGGCTCCCAGCAGCACGGTCCCTGAGAGCAGCTGGCGGGGCATGGTCCTGCCTGCGGGAACGCAGGGCTCTTTCCCTGCCGACGGCGGCGAGGCAGGGGCAGAGGCGCCGGCCGGGCTCCGACGGGCTCTCCTCGGTCCCGGGCGCTTCCCGCGGTGGAAGAGATAACGGCAAAGCGAGGCGCGGGATCCGCATCCAGCAGCCCCCGAATCCTGCTCGCCCGCCCCAGCCCGACCTGCGGAAACGGAGTATCCGCTGCGGGCGGCCCTGCCAGCTTCACCTCCTGCGGGCATCAGATACCCGCCAGCCCCAGCCTCGCTGATTTATAACTTCTCCACCCCTCGCCGCGCACCCCTCCGCCCCCCCGCCCACATCCTCCGCCGGGAGCACGCCCTCCCCGGGACGCGTCCCCCGCCCGCCCGTCCGTCCGCCCGTCCGTCCGTCGGTGGGCACGGTGTCGCTGCCCCGCGGGTCTCCCGGTCCCGGCCGCCCCCGGCCCCCAGGGACCTGTCCGTGCCGTCCCGCTGGAGCCCTGGTCCGGGCTACTTCCAGCCGCCGCGGCCGCAGCTCTGCCGGGGCGGGCAGCAGGACTCGTCCCTCGCAAGTCGTCAGGCTCTCCTAGGGAGGGCGTGAAGTGGACTTGCGATTCGTAGACCAAATGCTGAGCGGTGGGGTCCCGGTCCTACGGAGACCCTCGCCTGCTCCGCAGGAAAACCTTGACAGCGCCGCGTCCCGCCAGAGGCTGCCGAGCCGGGTGCCGAGTTGGGCGGGGGCCATTTACAGCCGTCCCCGGCTGCCCGGAGCGATGCTCGGAGCGCCCAAAGCGCTGCCCGTGCCCCAGGGGCCCGGGACTCCGCTCCCCGCCTTCCTTGGGAGAGGGAGCCGCGGGACAGAGCGCTCTATGCCTGGCCTGACCCAGACCAGCACGGGTCCTAGCCAGCAGCACTGAGAGCGCTCAGAGCAGGGAAGCCAGGAAGGGGCAGCACTGGCTAAGGATGCTTAGGGAGTCTGCCCTGCCAGCTCCCCTGATGGCCTTCACTGACTCTGTAACATTCAGGGCAGTGCTAGAAATGTATTTCTCCCCCACTATGCACATACCTCACGCTTCCCATACATGTTTTATTTTGCGAAAGATCAACGGAGAGCCCATGACAGGAAAACTCAAGCCCTATGCTTCCACTTTCTCCCTGTGCAGCCAGAGAAAGGCTGCTGTGTGAGTCAGGTCTTCAGTTTGACCCACTGTGGCCCTCCCTATATTTTTATACTATGAAACAAGTCACAAGAGTGTCTGCATGAGGCAGGTAAATGTGATCATCCCCCTCTTACAGAGAAGGAAACGGAGGCGCATAGAGAGGTTAGGCAGCTAGTCCAAGGTCATAGGAAGCTGGTGACAGGAGACACAAATAGAACTCAGACCTCCCGTGTCCCACCAGACCATCCTGTGCAAGAAAAAAAAATAAGAAGTTGATGTTGTTTTTAACTTGAGAACTGTTTAGCTTTAAAGTTTAAAGTCTGTGAGAATATTTCCTGCACGCGTCTGTTCGACTCCTATTCATAAATTACGCCCTAAGCTACAAATTTAAGTCTGTATTTTCCAATCTTCCTGCCCCCAGCTGAGACCTTGAAAATAAAATAGCTATGGATACCTTCCCCCTCAGCTGCTCACACCATGGGGGGAAGAACCCAGAGGTTTCTTTCCCGAAGAGGATGACTCACACGAAGTCACCTCCTCCACTGGAGAGGATAGCAGCTGGGAAAACAGTCAGCTAGGGAGGACAGGCCAACAAGTACTAGGACACTGAGCATCCTGACGGCTTAGACCCCCTAGGAGCAAGGGCTCCCCTATGGAAGGACCTCAGGGAACAGTTTGTGCCTGCCTTTGGCCAACCCAGTGCTGAGTATGTGCTGAGCCTGAGATGATGCAAACCCAATCACAAGCTCAGCAGCCGTGCCACACCAGCTCCTCCCCATCTTCTTCACACCTCCTACATCACAGCTGCATTCAGCCATGGCCCTCCAAAGACCACATTTCTTTGGCAAGCCATAGCTTCTTCCTTCTCCAACAGATGTCATCAGCTCATGATCCACTCAAGTGGCTGAGGACCAGGGAGGCCAAATCTGAAGATCTGCTCCTGATCTTTCTCTTTTCACTCTTTTATATGTTAAGGTCAGGGAGAGATGAGATGTGGAGCTTGTAGAATGGAAAGACCCTAGCAGAGAGATATGGGGAAGAAAGAAGAAGCAGATATTGCCATAAAGCAGAAGGAAGGTATAGGAGGAAGCTTGTGCCTGAAACTGGACAGTCTAAACACATAAATTGGAACATCTGGACAGATGGAAAATGCATATGTGAAGGGAAGGGCTTCATGGAATGTACTTGACTTTGTGTGTGTGTGTGTGTGTTTGTACTACTACCACGCAATTTGCAACACCCAGTAGGATGCAAACTACCTTTGAAGAGGAGTTTAGATGCTGTAGGCGGAGAAACACTAAGGAGACAGCCTTAGATCTGTCCCAGGCAAAAGTCTATTCTGCAGGCCATATGATCTCTTCATACCAGAATCTTAGGCCTTGGTTTGATCCTAAGTAGTGGGTGGCATATGTGAGGCCAATTTAATCATTGGAATTCAACCATTACTCACTGAGGCAAACAGCTCTGGTACAAGCACCTCTTACAGCCAAGCAGGGGATCATGGAGAATAGGGCGAGTTTCTAGAACCAGGGGAAACCCAAGAGAGGCTCACATGGAACAGGCAGCTTGCACAAGAGAGGCTGACTCAGCATAGGAGCCCCCTGGGGAGCCCAAGCCTGAAGCTGGAGACATCCCACTCAGCTGGAAGCTTGCTCATGTCCTAGGCTTCAAGGAGGGCAAGAAGGAGGGCCCTGATAACTGCAGGTCTGTCAGGTTCTGCCGGAGAGCAGTGCCACAGAATATGTCAGTGGCAAGCTGAATATAAGTGTGACTCATATTAGTGACTTGTACCAGTGAGTCCTGGCAGCCAGGAGGTCAAACACAACATGGGAGGGTGTCAGGCACAGCATCACCAGCCAACCAAGGGAGGGGATTGTCCCACTCTACTCTGCACTGGTGGGCCTCACCTCAAGTGCTGTGGGCAGTTTTGGGTGACAAGAAGGACATCAAACTATTACAGTGTGTCCAGAGGGATGGGACCCAGATTGTGAATGGCACCAAGAGCAAGACTTAGGAGGAGGAGTTCAAGTGGCTTGTTTGCTCAGCCTAGAGAAGAGGAGAGTGAGGGGAGGCTTCATAGTGGTCTATATCTTCCTTACAAGGTGAAGAGGAGGGGCAGGAGCTTTTATCTTCTTTCTGGTGACCAGTAATAGGCCAATAATGGGAACACCCTAAAGCTGTGTCAGGGGAGGTTTAGGTTACATATTAGGAAAAGATTATTCACCCAGAGTGTGACAGGGCACTGAAACAGCTTCCCCACCACACCAAGCCTGCCAGAGTTCAAGTGTTTGGACAATGCTTTTGGGCATATGGTGTTATTCTTGGGATGTCCTGTGCAGGGCCAGGAGTTGGACTTGAGGATTCTTGCGGTCCCTTCCAACTCAGAATATTCTATGATTTTATGTTTCTATGAATAATGGATACATAACAGTTGTTATGTTCCCTTCAGCTCTGAAATGTGGGAATTTTCATTTTTCTAGCATTTGTTAAAAATACTATTACTAAATACAAGGAAGGAAATCAGCCAAATTTAGCAGCTGAGAGTAAGCCCTCTGAAACATATCAGGCAAACATTTTGCAAGACTGATCATCTGCTCAATCTCCAGCACTACAGAAGCTGAAAGAGAGAGAGGAGAAACAACCTTCCTAGTAGACAACATTTGTTTTCAGTGTTCACTTGCAGCCCAGAAGTACCTTGTATTGTTGAATTTTACTCTGCTCTACAGGAAGGTCAAAGTACAGCTTTTGAACAACCCACTCATCTGACACTAAAATCATCAAGTTGTAAGGCAGCAAAAGCCCCAACTCTCCCATTTGCATCCCTTGCCCATCCCTGGCCAGCAAGATTCATTGGAACAACATAGAAAATGAGCAATAGGAAATCTGATTGAGAAGGTGGGTAATCAAGGCTCTCAGACCTTAGGTCCACATTGAGCAGCAGATTACCGTGACAAAGGAACAGAGACATCATCCTGGGAATATTGGACTTTCCATAGCTAAATACTCAGCCAGGCCATTGCCACTTTGCTGTCTGTCTCTTGCATGTCTGGCTTCAGGAGTTAGATGGAGTGGCCACTCCCCTATGGATATGACTTAGTCAAGTCACTGGGACATATTCTGACGTTGTGGTTTCTACTCCCCAATGGAAACAGGACACTTTGAACACCCTTGGTTAAGGCTTTAGCCAAGTCTTCTGGGAAGAATTGTTTGGACAGTTCCTGTGGACTTGGCAAAAATAAAGAGCCTAGAAAAATCTCATTCACACCAGAAGTAGATATCCTCCCCACATGACCTGACTCTTTCTAGCCATGGCAACAATTCCTTATTTGCACCGATACTCAGAATAATTCCTCGTAGCACTGGTTCCAATGTCCAGAGCATTATACAAAGTGTCACCACCAGCGCCTGCAACATCAGGTGCCTGCCCACAGAAGAAGACTGCATTGGTCAGAGTTACAGCTGAGGGACCTCATGGTGTGTGTTGTACTCACAGCAGAGGTAGACACCTCACAGGAACAGACTAGAATGTCTCTGAGATGGTCCCAAGCCCTTGCTGTTGGGACAGAAGGAAAAATACCAAAGCAGAGCAGACTGGATCTCCCTCTGCAGATCTTCTGCAGAATCTGCATCTGCCAACTTAATTTGACTGGATGCTTCCAGGACTGAAAATTTAATCAAAGCAATATTTCAGTTGATCAGCTGAAAACATTAAAATTTTTGCAGAAGCAGTGTCAAAGGTTCCAATGCTCCCTGTCTACCCTACGCCATCTCCATAGTCTCTTATGAGTTCTATTGGCAGAGCTGTTTCTGGGGCTCAATTTAAAACAGTTTGGTGAAACAGTCCAGGATGTAACCTGTTTACTTTC